CCATGGCGTCCGCGGCGGCGCCCGCGCGGCACTTTCAGTTTCTCCTTCGCGCGGGTGCAGGGCGGCTCGGCGCGGCCCGGGCCTCTCGCGTGCACCTGCGCCGGGCCGCAGCCCGCGGGCTTCCCTGCGCGGCCGGAGCAGCGGGCGGGCCTCGCGAGTCGCAGTGACTCGGGCCGGGAGACGTTCCGGGTGACTTCTCACCCCTCGGCGGCGCGGGGCTCCTGGGAGCGAAAACCACCAGTTGCTAACGTGTCCACGGAAGCCACAAATGTGCAGGGCAAAAGCCGGGCTCTTGGACGCGAACGCCACCGAGGAGGCGTCGCTGCTTCTGCCGCGGATGTGGCAGACGTTGCCAAGTCATCTTGTAAAAAAAGGAAGTGGACAATGATTAAGAGGTTCACGCCCCGTGCCCCTCCAACCGCTAATGCTTTTTTCTCTCCGTCTTATGTACATGCACCTGCCCAGGTGGGACCTCGAGGAAGTATAACTTTGTGGGTCCGCCTAATCTGGCAGGTAAGTGCTATCTTTGGACAATCAAAAACCTCCAGAATTAGGGGAGGGGACATAGAGATTAACTGTAACAACTGTGACTCCCATGTGTTTGTTTATCTAACTTGGCAAATAAATCAAACTGCGTTTGAGTGTGTCTCGCTGAGGAGGGAGTTTTCTCCTAGGGCTGAATTACCTAGGTGTTTCTCACGTTATTTGGTTTCTGCTATTCCATAAAGACCCTGCTTAGGGCAAGGTGGACAACGGAAGCCCAACACAGAGATGACGTGGCTCTGATTTGTTCAGCATTTGCCGTAGACTGTTGAGTGGAAGACTTTCTGTGAGGTAAACCATTCTCTTTATCTGCACTTGACACATGTGGGAACAGAGATTTCCTTAAGAAACATGACAGAGTTCACTTACCTGGCGGAATTGGGACAAAACCCTGCCGCACTCCGGCTCCAAAGTCCACGCTGGGAGCTCCTGTGTTACAGGACCTTGTGAAATAACGTGGCAGTCTAGAAACGGATGAGCGCGGGCGCGGGCGTGTGGGATGCTGCTGAGCCGGGGTGGGAACCGAGGGGAAGGTGCCTGGAATGTGTGACTTCCAGGAAGGAACTTGGACCTGATCAGGTCTTCTAGATTTGGTTATGATATAGCAAAGGAGGTAAGGAGAAAGAAGGCGGAAGGAGAAAGAGAACAGCCATAAATTAAAGAGTCAGGCAAAGCGGTTCAAGTCGGAAATTTGACGCGGATTGCTTTTTTAGTCTTACTTCCCGAGTCCGTAGCAGGTCGTGCGCAGTGGCCTCCAAGGCTAGGGCTCTTCCAGCGTTCATCCGCCCTGAAGCCTCCCCGTTCTCCTCGGGGCAGCAGGGTGTCGGATCACACTTCCGCCCTGTGCCCAGCTGCCCGTGTGTGCCTAGTCCTGCAGGCCCGGGTGATCAGGGGCTGTCCCTGTCCCTCACACCTGCTGGACCTCACTGGACTGCACACGCTGGCCCTTCCGCCCACTTCCTTCCTCCCAGAGTGGTCCAGCACAGGCCTGTTGAATGACAGAATGAGCTACAACAGTGACCTGAAGCCTGCGTGGGAAAGAATGTGTGAGAGCGGAAAGAAAACACCAGGAAAGAGGAAGAGAGCAAGTAGAGGGAGGGAGAAAAGGCCAAACATGCCCATTTTCCTGGAACGCAGATGGCTCGGTGGGGAAGGACAGAGGAAGCCGCGGTGGCTGCGGCTGCTGAGCCCTGTAGCTACACCTCAGCAGGGCGGTTATTGGAGATACGGAACTGCCCCGACCCTGCGCTTTTTCCCTTCTTTCCGTGGTTGAACTTTTCAGGAACAGAGTAGAAGTGTATCCATCAACAACTTTCACAGGAGGAAATCCTCCTTCCTCTTGTATGCAAACACCGTAAAAGATAGCAAAGTAAAGGCTTATGCAAAAGTTAGATTTGGGGGGAAAAGAAGGGAAATTGATGAGAGGTACAGGGCAAGAGATATAAATTCCTCGCTGGACTCAGTCCCTGCATTTGAAGAATCTCTTTTGAAAACGTTCAGAAAACATTTGGAGTATTTATGGTTATATGAAAATGAGCACATTCTAACTTTCAGGTGGAGTGTTCTATGAGAAAACTAATATTTAGAAAAAATTCTAATATGAAATCTTAAATTAGCTGTTGCTACTTTGATAAAATAATTTTTAATAAGAGGGACAAGGATAAAGTATTTTATGCATTTTTAAAATGTAATTTCATTTCTTAGTTCATTGAAAAGAGATGTTCGTGCTAATATTGTTTGGACAATTAAACGCTGATATCTTGTACTCTGAGTAACTCAATACACAACATATTAACCATTACCCTCCTATCATATTGTTTTGGAATTTTGTGGGGGGTTTTTGTCTTTAAAATAAATAAAAATAAAAATGTTACTAATTTATGATTTTAAAATGGATTAGTTTCAGTTATACTTCCTCATAGAATTGATTTGTGCAGAAAAGCCAATAAAGAGACAAAATAATATAAATTTCATGAATTATAATCAATAAGTGTTAAATAGGAAGATAACATTCTCAGAATGATTAATACAGCATAACAGAAACAATTGAAATAAAATAGTATATCAAACAGAAACCTGTTGGAAGTTAATGAAGTTTTGTGAAAATATACAATCTTCAGTAAAAATAGTGAATTATTACTAACCTGAAAATATTTTCTTGATAATTATCTTTGCTCAGTTTACTCAGTTTAAAAGGCGTGTTCTTTATATTCTGAAATCAGAAGTCTGTCTACTGTAGTACCTAAGATATTTTCAGAAGTTTCTATAATTTAGTTTTCCAAGCAAATATTAAACTTGTTTCAAACACACACACGCAGACACACGCAGACACCAGTAAGGGTCTGTGTTTGCACAGCGTCCTGTGCTTTGAAGGGTCCGCCGTTGGCTTAATTCTCTTCTGAGACTGCCTTGGAATTCTTTTTTTTTTTTTTCCAGAAAACAAATGATTTATTTTATTTAAAAAAGAGGAAGAAAAGGTAGTGATCATCAGAGCCATAGGTTTGGTTAAACGAGTCAGGCTAATCTTTCCTCTTTCTCTTGCTTTGGAGAACCTGAGTAATGGTTTAGGGTCCACTGGAATCTTGATAATCTTGATTTCAAAGAAGCACTTGGAACATCTTCCAAGGCACAGGACTTCTATGATGAGAGAGAGGCGGGATCACACAGTGATCCCTTGGGAAA